ATTATATATTATAATATATGTTATATATTATATAATTATTATAATATATTTATGTAGCAGACCTTAATCTCTGTTCATAAACTAACCTTTAAAATGTTTATTGTAACTTGTTTAAATACAAAATTGAATCTTTGAGCCCCCAGCCAATCGGGCTAGTGTGAAGCTTTGTCTTAATTCTTACTGGGGTTTCCTGCCCCTTTTTCTCTTGAGTAATCACTGTGCAAAGGTCCTATGCAGCCCAAAGCATTCAGGATTCAGCTCCAGTCTTGGGCCCTCACTGGTTAGTGCTAGGATGATCATCATCCCAGACTTTGTTAATCTCTTCCATTAACTGCAAAGATTAAGTTACGGATATTGTTAAAAACTTTTGATGCTACCCTTCTAGAAGCCCTGAAGATCTCTGTCTCTTTGTTAGGTTTTGAGAAACCTCCCATTCAATCTACCAAAGCTTCCTTCTGTTCCCCGTATGGACACTAGCTCATCAACATTCTTCTTTCCACCCATACTGCACAATTACTTTCACTAATTTGTACACTCAGCAATACAGCAAGAGAGTCGTCTTCTCCATTCAGTTATGCTTTAAGCCAAAAAAATATTCCTGAAGCTGAAATATTACAGTTGGAATCAGGAGAGGGGAAAGTTTAGAGGAAAACTTAGTAAGTTAATTTAGCACAGTTAACACATTAAAGTGTCAAGTAATTTTCTGCTCCAAATACACACACTAATATTATTTACAATATTTCATGATATATTTTTTCTATAACTTGCCTTTTTCTCCTTTACAATATATGAGACAGATTATAAAAAATTATGCTTTTTAATGTCTAAACATATTTTCATTATATAGAAATTCCATAATTTATGTTAATATTTACTTTTTAATGAACATTGACAATTTTCAATTTTATATTATCGCAAAAATCATAAAATACATATATTTGCATGAAAATGTGCAGCAATATAAATTGATATAATATAAACTTCTCAAACAATTAACTTTATAACATAATTTTTTTAATGTTTATTTATTTTTGAGAGACAGCGTGAGTGGGG